GTTGCTACATGACGTCATTACCCGGGGCCCACAGCCACTGTTTCTGGGCTAGGCTGGGCTGTGGGCCGCATTTTGTGCCATGGGGTCTTGGCAGCATTGGCTGTGATTTGGTGGGGTGTCGCTCCAGGTTGGTGGTGGGGCCTGTGTCCTACTTGGGGGAAACCAAGTGTTGCTTTGTCAGCGCCAGGTCCGTGGTGCTGTTTCTCTGTAAATGGCCAGTGTGCATCACGGCAGCTCCTGCATTGAGCATCTGCCCTCTGGTGGTCAGTGCGTATCATAGCAACTGGTCAGATGGTCGGACACTTAGCATATTAGCCTTTTACATATAGATAGTCATACCTAACACAGGCATCACTGAACGGTGTCCACATAACATCTTGAATACGTCCAGTAATGAGATACTTAGCATATCACAAAGTACTATTAGCAGTAGAGGTAGTTTGGCTATCTGGAAATCTTTCAACTATTTAGTAACTTCAATAATTTCCCCTGGCCAGGTAGCTCAGTTGGTTAGAGTATTGTCCCGATAGGCCAAGGTTGTGGGCGCAATCCCTGGTCAGGACACATACACGAATCAACCAGAGAATACATAAATAAGTGGAACAACAAATTGATGTTTCTCTCTCAAAGCAGTAAAATAATTTTTAAAAAATTTTACTTTATTCTACATGCATAGAAAACCTCAACAAATATTTCACTCATTTATTCAAAAATATGTATTGTCTTTTTGTAGACAGGCACTTAACAGTTTTATCTGTGAAGTAGTTACAGTGGTGAGGTAGCACAGTTTCATTCATTACTATCATTTGTTAAAAATTAAAACAAGAATTTGCAAGTATTTTAGATGTAAATAAATGTGTATCTTTTAAAATTACTCAACAGGATATATTTGTGACTTATTTGCTCATGGCATTTTATCACAGGTTCTAACAAGAGCCATTCCCAATCTCTAGAAAAATGGCCACAAAACTGTAAACCAATTATTTGGGGAATGCTACTTGAATAAGAAATGTCATTTCCTGACTTTTGTTTATTGCCTGGATGTTTTACAAAATGGTTCCCAATTCAAATTTTACAATTATACATTCATTCTGTCATAAAATTTTATAAATTAAACACTAAATTGATTTCTATTTTAAACGTTTATTCACCCCCAAAAAACATCTATCTATTCCTTGAAACCCTTGCAAAAGTAACAAAGGAAAATGTCTAAAATTCACTAAGTGAAAAGTAAACCATATTGTTATAATTGCAATAGGTAAAAATATGTATGTGTAAACAGGACAAAATTTAAACAATTTGGTTGAGTTTGCAGCATTAGTTTTTTTAAAATATATTTTTATTGATTTCATAGAGGAACGGAGGGAGAGATAGAAACATTAATGATGAGAAAGAATCACTGATCGGTTGCCTCCTGCATGCCCCCTACTTGGGGATTGAGCCCACAACCCGGGCCTATGCCCTTGACTGGAATTGAACCAGGTACCTTTCAGTCCACAGGGCGATATTCTATCCACCAAGCCAAACCAGCTAGGGCAGCATTAGTTTTTGGGGTTTTTTTTAATGATTTATTTTAATACTGCTGTTACAGTACTCTTTTAATCATTTTCTTCTAAAAAATTTTAAAAATTAATTTATAGATTATAGAGCAAGAGAAAGGGAGGGGAGAGAGAGAGAGAGAGAGAGAGAGAGAGAGAGAGAGAGAGAGAGAGAGAGAGAGAGAGAGAGAGAGATTTGTTGTTCCACTTATTTATGCAATCATTGGTTGCTTCTTGTCTGTGCCCTGACTAGTGTTCAACCTACAGCACTGGCTTTGGGACAATGCTCTGACCCACTGAGCTACCCTGCCAGGGTGTAATCGTTTTCTGTATTTATTATGAATAGGACATCATTTAAAACTACTCCCTGATTCCCTTTTAAATAATAACAAATACACCAATAAACCCCACTGAAGATATGAAGATAAGTTGAAGTTTAGATCTCTTACTTCATTTTTTAGCTAGATTCCCCCAGTCTTTATAGTATTTCTTCTAGCAAGAATGAAAAACTATTTTAGTTTGTCACTGAACCGAATGTTATGCCCCAAGGACTAAATGAGATAGGTATATAAAGTATTTGGTTTGTAACAAATGCCCTTCCAGTCCCGTTCTACTTTCAGCTTAACTATTAATCCAAGTTTCAGTCTCACTCCTTTTAATCACTGCAGGTCACTCCCAACCTTTCAAAGCAACATTGTAAGAAGCCTTTTGGCTGTGCTGATTTCCTCTGACTTCTGTAGTAACAGTCACTGCTTTGTTGTCATATCCTCTCTCCCAACTCCACCCCTTCTACCTTAATCATTCACTGATTAGAAACTTAGGAAACAGGCAGAGGACTAGCTAAGAAGAAAGAAAAATGAGGCCACTGGTATCAATCTGTTGACATTATAAAAACTTGCCCTTGAAAATAGTGTCCTTTTCTCACAGCTATCTTCTCACAACTACTAAACTACTCCTTGATGCTGCTACTAGTCATGTCCTCAGTTTTGCACATAATAGAATTGCGTTTTTAAGCAGTTTTCAATCTGTCAACATAATCACATGTTAAAAAAAATGTTATAGGTTAACAGTGCTTTTTATGAATTTGGGGGGAAAAAATAAAGGTGTCTTCAGAGAAGAATCTTAACCTGTTTGCCCAAGCCCAAAAACAGTAACAAAGATGCTTATGATTTCCTCTTAAAAGATGAAATGCCTTCTCATTTGAACTTTTCCTTAGGACAACAGAGTAATTTCATTTTTTTAAAATCCTCACCTGAGCATATTTTTTCCATTGACTTATACAGAGAGTGGAAGGGTGGGAGAGTGAGCGAGGAACATCATTGCAAGAGAGACACATTGATTGGTTGCTTCCCACCTGCACTCCTACCAGGGCTGGGGGACCTGCAACCGAGGTACATGCCCTTGACCAGAAATGGAACCTTTGACCCTTTGGTCTGTGGACCGACACTCTAACCACTGAGCAACAGGCTGGGGCCAACAACTGTTCATTTTACATTCTTCTATGACTTTAGCAACTTAGATGTACAAATATATAACTGTTTTGTTAGAATGGATGGAGAAGAAAGAATATTTTTAAAGTTGAAAAGAATAAAAAGAATATCTGAGGAGAAAAGTAAGCGTGCCAAAAATCTGTGCTTACTCTCTGTGTGAAAAGAATACTAATATTCCGCCCTAGCCGGTTTGGCTCAGTAGATAGAGCATCGATCGGCCTGCGGATTGAAAGGTCCCGGGTTTGATTCTGGTCAAGGGCATGTACCTTGGTTGTGGGCTCATCCCCAGTAGCGGGTGTGCAGGAGGCAGCTGATCGATGTTTCTCTCATTGATGTTTCTAATTCTCTATCCCTCTCCCTTCTTCTCTGTAAAAAAAAAAATCAATAAAATATTTTTTAAAAAAACCTGGAAAAAAAAGGAATACTAATATTCCAATTGTTGGAAATGCTAGTGCTCACAATATACTAAATGAACAGAACAGTAGATATGTCTGTAGAAATATGTGGATACAAAAGAGAGTAAAAGGATCTATCTCATAAACTTAACACTGGCTAACTTCAAGTACAGTGGGGCCTTGACTTACTAGTTTAATTCGTTCTGTGATGGAGCTCGTAACTTAAAGTGAACGAGTGAGACACGTGATGCTGGGCTGATGTTGTGGCGTTCACTGTGACATTCACTGCGCCAACTAGCGGTGGGGTATGTGAAGCTGGCTTGTAACCCGAATTTTAGCTCGCAACTCAAAGCTCGTATCTCGAAAAACTCATTAGTCGGGACACTCATAAGTCAAGGCCCCACTGCAGTAGGACTATCACTGAGTTTGCTATTTTTGTGTTTCTGTATTTCCTAGATTTTTCTACAACAAATAGAAATAATCTATAATAATAAAAGCATAATATGCTAATTAGACTGGATGTCCTTCTGGACGAAGCCGGGGCTGCGAGGGAAGCCCGGGTCCTGGGTGCCTGCTGGCGGCCAGAGCAAAGCCCAGGTCCCCGGTGCCAGAGGGAAGCCGATGCCGGCAGCCGGGGAAAGGAAGGCCTACTCTTGCACAAATTTTGTGCATCGGGCCTCTAGTCCTATATAATAAAAGCCTAATATGCAAATTGATCGAACAGCACAACGACTGGTTACTATGACACGCACTGACCACCAGGGGGCAGACGCTCCACACAGGAGCTGCCCACAGCCCACAGGCCCCAGGCCAGCCAGCGGGGGCCCCCTGGTCACCCCACAGAGGGAGGTGACCAGCGGCGGTGGCAGGGCCGGAGAGCAGGCGGCGCCAGACAAGCCAAGGAGGGTGCCAGAGGGACCACCCCCTGATCGCCCCGCCAGTCACCTCACAGATTGACCCTGATCACCAGCCAGGCCTAGGAATCCTACCCATGCATAAATTTCATGCACCGGGCCTCTAGTTTTCATTAAAAAAAACCAGAACATTCTGCCAGGCCAGTGTGGCTCAGTTGGTTAAATGTGGTCCCATGCACCAAGAGGTCACTATTTCTTTTTTTTTTTTTTTTTGTTATGTGTGATTTGCCTTTTTCTTTTTTTTTTTAAATTTAAATCTTTATTGTTTAAAGTATTACATGTCTCCTTTGTCTCCCATTGACCTCTCCCCACCCATTCCCACCCCCAGCACATGCCCTAAACCCCCTACTGTCTGTGTCCATGGTTTATGCTTATATGCATGCATACAAGTCCTTTGGTTGATCTCTTAACCCCCTGCCCCCCAGAGGTCACTGTTTCAATTCTTGGTCAGGGCACATGCCCAGGTTTCGGGCTCGATTCCCAGGGAGGGGCATGAAGGAGGCAGCCGATTGAGGTTTCTCTAGAATTGATATTTTTCTCTCTATATATTCCTCTCTAAAATCAATAAAAACATATTAAAAACAAACAAACAGAACATTTTGTTTTTAAAATATAAACTTTTTTAAGATAAAGAAAAATAAATTTTGACATTGGGTCTATAAATAAAATAGAATCTATTTATTTAAAAAATAAAAATAAAAGAAACTGCACATTTGTGGGCCATCATGTGAGTTTTCCATTTTTCCCAAACACATGCACAGAACTAATGCTATATTGAGCTATATGAGCACAAAGTGTAGAAGAGCTCTCCCATTCCATAAAAATGTGTTGTGCTAATGCCTTGAACAATACACTTCTGAACTATCAAAAAGAATGCAAAAAAAAAAAAAAAAGAATGCAGATCACAGTCAGTGAACAAATAGTTTTAAAAAAACAAAAAGCTACAAAACTTAAGAGGCCTGCAAGAGTTATGCTATGAGCCATCAGTGACACTGTGGCTACTAAAGTTTCAGTCATTTGATAAAGGGCAAAATAAGACAACAGTTAATGGACAACTTATTTTATACATGATTAACATTATGTTTATTGTTTTAATCCTCTTGAAGATGATTTTTTAATGTTTTAAGTTAGTCATGTAACTATGAATAACATGTGCTTATTTAGCTGATTCTTCTAGCCTCTATTTTCCTTGATGTCAATCATTATTAGTAATTATATAGGTCCTCATTTATTGGGTATATGCCTACTCCCTGACTCTAGTTCAGCTACTCTGTTTTTGCCTTGATCATTGCTGATCAGGTCTCACTAACTTTAAATTTCCACTTATCACCCTAACCCCGTGGTTGGCAAACTGCGGCTCACGAGCCACATGCGGCTCTTTGACCCCTTGAGTGTGGCTCTTCTTAAGCCTTAGGCGTACCCTAATTAAGTTAATAACAATGTACCTACCTATATAGTTTAAGTTTAAAAAATTTGGCTCTCAAAAGAAATTTCAATTGTTGTACTGTTAATATTTGGCTCTGTTGACTAATGAATTTGCCGACCACTGCCCTAACCGATTTGGCTCAGTAGGAGTGTTGGCCTACGGGTGGACCCCAGGGTCCCGAGTTTGATTCTGGTCAAGGGCATGTGCAGGAGGAAACCATTTGATGTGTTTCTCTCACATCGATATTTCTCTCTGTCTTTCCCCTCTCTCTACCGCACTCTCTAAAAATCAATGGGAAAATATCCTCGAGTGAGGATTAAAAAAAATTACATTTATCTCATCTAATTTTACTGACACTTGGTTTACATATCTATTGCCCACTCTTACCTTTTACTGCTAATTTCCAACCAATTAAGGTACTTGGAAAACAAAGGAAGATGTGCTACCTACACAAAACCATAGAAAATGACAGGTGGGGTGGGAATAAATTTAACAATTTATTTTTTTTAGAAACATGGTGCTAGGAGCTATGAATACTTAAATTTGACTTAAAGTTTTAAAATTTAAATTAGTCTAGAAGTTAAATGTTTTGTCAGAAATAAAGCCTGCATCTAATTAAATTCTACGTTCATCACTCATAACTAGGTCTAAAATGTTAGCTATTTAACCATAAACACAGCGTAAAATAATAATAACTAGGGTACATTCTTGGAACTAAATTTACAAATGAAATTCAGGGGTGTCAAAAATAAGCTCACCTGCAACACTTTTCATTTTTCTTCCTTTCTCGCTATCTGTACTTGGCACATTTCCTTCAGTTGACTGAAGGAAAAATGCGTTTTAAAAAAATCTTTAAGAACAGCATAAACAAAAAAAGTGGATTAAATACAATGCTATCAATAAAAAGTATTAAATATAAAACTTATCAGTACTAAAGTGTTAATGTTAAAAGATACTTAATTTGTTTTTGAAAAAGCTCCAATATTTCTTTGCTTAGTGAGAATGACCATTTTTCTAAAAGTTTACTAGCTATTTTTTCCTATAAAAGCTGCTATTCATGTTCTTTATCCATTTATCAACTGTATGTTTTCTTACCAATCTGTATAAGCTCTTTATAAGTAATATAGTTATTATCCCTTTCTATCCTATATTTTGCAATTATTTTCACCCATCTTTGTTTTCTTCTTAATTTGGTTTGGATTTTGATTAGTGCTCTCTCATTTCTTTCTTTTTTTTTTTAATATATTTTATTAATTTTTTACAGAGAGGAAGGGAGAGAGATAGAGAGTTAGAAACATCAATGAGAGAGAAACATCGATCAGCTGCCTCCTGCACACCCCCTACTGGGTATGTGCCCGCAACCCAGGTACATGCCCCCGACCGGAATCGAACCTGGGACCCTTCAGTCCGCAGGCCGACGCTCTATCCACTGAGCCAAACCAGTTACGGCTCTCATTTCTTAATAATAAATTCATTATGTTAAGTATATGACATAATAAATAAATTTAGAAATTCTGTTTTTTCCACAATTGAGAATTAGTAGAGTAATTTAGTGCTAATAAGAATTCCAGCCCAGCCATGGTGCCTCAGTGGTTGAGCGTCGACCTATGAACCAGAAGGTCACAGTTCAATTCCCGGTCAAGGCACATACCCAGGTTGCCTGCTTGATCCCTGATCATGCAGGAGGCAGCCAATCAGTGATTCTCTCTCATCATTGATGTTTCTATCTCTCTCTCCTTCTCCTTTCCTCTTTAAAATCAATTTAAAAATATTTTTTAAAAAAAAGAATTCCAGCAAAACAGAAGGACAAACAAGCCTCAATTTTAGTTTGTCACTTAGAAGGGAAATTACAAAATGCATAAAAAAAGAACTGTATTATTTTCCACAATGTTACTTGGTTTGTAAAAGAATTCAATATAAATTTTCTAAGTGGGCGTTTTCCTCACCAAAGTGTAATGTAAAATTTTTACTATCTCTTTGAGACAGTGATCCAAGCTTCTTCCTTGGAGGATGTTACCAGTTCATACTTAGTTTCAATAACTTGACCCTCCACAGGCAGCAGGTGCAGTCTCCTCACCAACACACTCAGAAGTACTGTGGTCACCATATACGCAAACCTAGTCAGGGAGAAAGTTGACTGGTTACTATTAACAATTACACTTTAATTATATCTGACATCTTTCCTCTCACTTTATCATCTCACCTTAACTCTGAGCATTCCTGTGTGCCTGAGAATCCAAGCAAGGAGAAAGTATTCATTACTGATTCATCATTAAACCGGTCTGGATCAAACCTAAAAAGAAGATTGGTATTTAATTTTTAAAAAGTCATCCCAGTATATTTAATTTTTAAAAAAAGAAGTTTGGGGGCTAATTACAATAGAACGCCATTGGCCTTTTACATATTTCCACTGTAAGAGCACAAATAAATAATGTTTTAAAAACTACTGAAAATAAAAACTGCTGTCACATTATATTTAAATTCCACCTATTACTATGTTCCTAAATTATTCAACATATATCTTTAGTCTCTTTCTGCTTATTTTATTATTCTATACCAGGGGTGGAGAACATCTGGCCTACGGCTGTATAAGACCTGAGAAATCATTTGGTCTGGCCCTGCCAAAACATTAGAGGTGTTAATTAAATGTCTGACCACATACAGCAGGCTAATTTTTAAGCTGATAATTTTGTATGGCTGTGAATGATGTTATAAATATCCAAATGGCCCTTGGCAGAAAAAAGGTTCCCCATTCCTACTAAAATAATAGATGCAAAATACTTTTCTCTGGAACCAATAATGAATAAGATTTTGACACAAGCTTACATCATTGTATGAGATATAAAGATAAATCATACAAAACCACATAGTAAATATTTACATTTAAGTGTCTTCAACATATCTGTTACATGAGACCATCTGATCAATATGTAAGGTATTCTACATTGCCTTTTCAATTAAATTTATTGCTTAAAATTGGAGACATCAGACTTAAAAACTTATATTCATCAATTATGTTACACTCAGACTTACTAATAACTGAAGGAAATAAGGAGGCTAAGGTTTTTTTATTGTATACAATTTCACTCTGTAAAAAATTGCAGGGAAAATGGGTATACTAAATAAAACAAATAGATCATAAAATTTTGTCTTAAAAAGAAATGTTTCTTTGAAAAGATCAACAAAATTGATAAACACTTAACTAGACTCAAAAAGGAAAAAGAGAGAGGACCCTAATAAAAAAAATTAGTATTGAAGGAGAGAAGTAACAACTGACACTACAGAAATACAAAGGATTATAAAACAATATAATGAACAACTATATGCCAATATATTGGGTAACTGAAAAAAAATAGATAAATTTCTAGAAACATACAATATTTCAAGAATGAATCAAGAAGAAACAAAACCTGAACAGAACAATTACAACAAAAGAAATAGAAGCAGTAATCTAAAAACTCCCAACAAATAAGTCTTGGACCGGATGTGAATTGTATGGTCCATAAACATTTAAAAAACTAATAGCTAACCAAAAAATTCAAGAGGAGAAAATACTCCAAAGCTCATTTTGTGAGGCCAGCATTATCCTAATTCCAAAAACTGATAAAGACACTACAATGAAAGAAAATTATAGACCAGTATCTCTAATGAACAGAGATGCTAAAATCCTCAACAAAGTATTAGCAAACCGAATTGAGCAATTCATTAAAAAGATCACACACCATGATCAAGTGGTATTCATTCCTGGGGTGCATGATTGGTTAAATATCCACGAATGGCCCAGCCAGCATGGCTCAGTGGTTGAGCGTTGACCTATAAATCAGGAGATCAAGGTTCAATTCCTGGTCAGGGCATATGCCCGAGTTTTGGGCTAGCTCCCCAGTGTGGGAGTGCAGAAGGCAACCGATCAATGATTCGCTCTCATCTTTGATGTTTCTCTCTCTTCTCTCCCTCTCCCTTCCACTCTGAAATCAATAAAAATATATTTTTAAAAAAATGTACCTCTGGATTTTCCAAAAGGGATGGATAAGGAGGTATCAAACTTCAGAAAGCTTTTCCTTAGCTTACAACAGTAACACTAACATTTCCTAAATTTAATTACATTTGATTCCTAAAAATGATTTCCACATTTAGCATATATTTCTTTTTTAAATTTTGTTTTATTGCTTAAAGTATTACAAAGAGTATTACATATGTCTCCTTCCCCCACCCGCCTTGACCTTCCCCCAGCCTCCCCTGCCCCCCAGTGTCTTGTGTCCTTTGGTTATGCTTATATGCATGCATACAAGTCCTTTGGCTGATCTCTTAACCTCCCCCCACCCCAACACTCCCCAGCCTTCCCGCTGTAGTTTGACAGTCTGTTCCATGCTGCTCTGCCTCTGCATCTATTTTTGTCCATCAGTTTATAATGGTCTTTATTATCCATAAATGAGTGAGATCATGTGGTATTTTTCTTTCATTGGCTGGCTTATTTCACTTAGCATAATGCTCTCCAGTTCCATCCATGCTGTTGCAAAAGGCAAGAGTTCCTTCTTTTTTACTGCAGCATAGTATTCCATTGTATAAATGTACCACAGTTTTTTAATCCACTCATCTGCTGATGGGCACTTAGGCTGTTTCCAAATCTTAGCTATGGTAAATTGTGCTTATATGAACATAGGGATGCATATATCCTTTCTGATTGGTGTTTCTGGTTTCTTGGGCTATATTCCTAGAAGTGGGATCACTGGGTCAAATGGGAGTTCCATTTTTAACTTTTTGAGGAAACTCCATACTGTCTTCCATAGTGGCTGCACCAGTCTGCATTCCCACCAGCAGTGCACGAGTATTCCCTTTTCTCCACATCCTCAATTTCTTTCTCTGTTTTTCAATTTTCAACCTAGATTTTCTGATCTACCAATGCACATCTTTACTTTTGTTATAAAAGCCACTTGGAATATAAAAATTTACTTAATTTTTATTTATAGCATATTTCAAAGGATTGCTATTTCATTTATTAATAGACTAGAGGCCTGTTGCACGAAGAGATTCGTGCAATAGGCCTTCCTTTCCCCTGGCTGCTAGCACCGGTTTTCCTGCAGCACCCGGCACCCAGGCCTTCGCTCTGGCCGGGCTCCAGCCAGAGCTGGCCCCGTGGCCGTGAGGCTTTTGCTGCTCTGTGGGCCCCATGGCTGTGAGGCTTTTGCTCCAATGCTTGGAGCCTATGTATGCAAATTAACTGCCATCTTTGTTAGGTTAATTTGCATACTCTCCTGATTGGCTGGTTAGCATAGTGAAGGTATGGTCAATTTACATGTTTGTCTATTATTAGGTAAGATTTCCTTTAATATCATTATAATATTAAAAGCCAAAATGGTAGAAACACTTAATATGTTCTATCCTTATCCTCCAAAAGAAGGTTTCCTAGTACTTCAACCATGCCACCAACCCTGCCTCCTGATTTTCACACAGTTGTTTTACTCTCAATCAACTCGATATATAACCTTCTTCTAGGACAGTAAATCCTAACCATTTCCTTAGGATTTTATTAGATGCCTATTTAAGAGGCAAACAAAAGCAGCTGTTCTTCAGCTTTTCCCTTCCTCATCATTCTCACATATAACACTTATACACACAAAACCTATTTTCTGAATTTGACTAAAGCACTTAATAGTTGAGACAACTTAACCAAAAAAAAAAAAAAATTCCAAAATTTCACTGAAATTGAAAGATAGATGTAGAGATCAGGTAGTTAAACAGATCTTAGGATGGAAGTGGTAACAGGAGAGACACATAGAGTAGCAGACAGCAGATTCATGAAAGGAAAAGTAGTGAGTGAGCAGAAGATACAAAGGGAAGATATAAATGTATCATTGTCACATACTGTTTTCTCCTCAAAAATTAGAAAAGTAATGCAACACATAAAAACACATAAAAATCAATCATCACAATGACAGTGACAGATATTTCATACTTGTATGGTGATGGCCAAGTACTGGGATCTTGAAGTACCACACCAAGGGCATAAAGAACAAGGGTCTGCAAACAAACATAAATGTCTTCTAGTTAGTCAAGGCCTAACAAAGCAAGCGACTCCCAGAAAGCCAACTCATCCTAATTGCTCTTTTAATGTAGACAATGAATACAAAATAAAAATATAAAACAACAGAAGAAAACAGAGGCCATGACTTTGGTAATCTTACAGTGAGGAAGGCATTCCTAACCCTGTCACAAAAGCCATAAAGTAATAACAGATTTAATTATATAAAAATTTTAAAAACTGCATCCTGTCAAAACAAAAAAAATACCAAACCATATCAAATAGAAAGAAAAGATACTTGTATAATATACAAAAAGTCATGTATAATATACAAAATGTATAATATACAAAAAGCATGTATAATATACAAAAAGATATATAAGCTCACTAGAAAGAACAGTGAGTTACAAGCAGATAATTCACAAGACAAGAAATACAAACTGTTTATATATGAAAAGCTGTTCAATCTCTCCAAAAATTAGGGAAAAGCAAATTAAAATCATAAGACAGTTTTTCATATAAAATTCACAAAATAAATACAATTTATAAATCTATAGGTGGTGATGACATGGAGACAAAAAGCTTTTTCATACATTATTGCTAACAATATAAATTGTCTTTTAGGTAACAATTTAAATTCAACATACATATGCACTTTGACACAAAAAACTCCATTTCTACAGCTCTATCCAATATCTGTCCAAGTATATAATTTGAAATAATAAAAAAATAGATCTAATTTCCATCTCTGAGAACTGCTTAAATAAATCGTGGTAATGGATTACTATGCAGCCGTTAAAAATGAGTTGGCCCTAGCCGGTTTGGATAGCGTGTTGGCCTGTGGACTGAAGGACCCCGGGTGTGATTCCAGTCAAGGGCACATGCTCAGGTTATGGGCTTGATCTCCAGTTGGGGCGTACAGGAGGCAGCCGATCAATGACTCTCTCTCATCATTGATGTTTCTATCTCTCTCTCCCTCTCCCTTCCTCTCTGAAATCAATAAAAATATATTTTAAAAATAATAATAATGAGTTGGATCTGTATCAAGTGCCAGCTGTACTAGTAGTCATTATACACGCAATAAAAGAAAATTAAAGAACAATATATAAAGAGTAACCTTTCACATATAAATTCAGTTTTTAAAACATATACACATATCTATGTGTATATACATACACAGAATAATATACACACACAGAAAAAGATCTATAAAAATATACACTAAAGAGAAAGAACTCATGGACATGGACAGTAGTGTGGTGACTGCGGGGGTGTGGTGGTGGGTGGAAGTGGAGGAGGGCATAGGGAGGGAAATGGTGATGGAAAAAAATAAAATAAAGAAAAAAATACACATTAAACTATTAACAGTAGTACCAATGGGCAAGAGAGCTTTTCTTTTATATAGTTTGAACTTTAGAACAGGCATATATTATTTTGTCATTTTAAATGACTGTGCCTTTGATTTTATAATAGGTAGCATTTATTGGACACTTTAAACAATAAAATTTAAAAATACACACTAAAAGAGTTGAAAAGAATAACTGAATGAGTTAAGTATACTAAATGTTTCCTACCTCTCTAGGAATAATGAATTTGTCGATCTTTCCTTCAATATCTTGAAGCCGGGCAGAAACTGGGGTCAGTTTGGCAGTCCGAACAGTCTCACAAAGCACTTGTCGACAATATCTGTTTTAAAAAATTTTTTTTGAGATCTTTACTATGAGAGAGACAGTTTGAAATGTAGAAATATTTCAAAATGTCATTCAACAACTTTCATAACTTGAAATAGTCACATGATGATTCTTTGTTGGTTGAAGATATGTTATATAAATATATAAAGTCCATGTGGGTAAAGATTTAAACAAATAAAAACATCTTTAAAAGTACCAAAGAAGCCCTAACTGGTTTGGCTCAGTGGATAGAGCGTCGGCCTGCAGACTGAAAGGTCCCAGGTTCGATTCCGGTCAAGGGCATGTGCCTTGGTTGCGGGCACATCCCCAGTGGGAGGTGTGCAGGAGGCAGCTGATCGATGTTTCTAACTCTCTATCCCTCTCCCTTTCTCTCTGTAAAAAATCAATAAAATGTTTTTTAAAAAAAAAAAAGTACCAAAGAAAATTCAAAGCAATATTTTTATAATTTTTTAGTAGAAAAATCCTATATTTTTAATAAAGAAATTAATAAAAATTTTAATAAAGGACTTTGCTAATAAAAAATTATATAAATATTGACACAATGACAGAAACCATAACGAAAAACACAATCTGATTATGGAATTTTTTATATATTTACAATCATCATACATAAAATTAAGACAACTAGAAAAAAATTTTAAAAGACTAGAAAAAATATTTACAGTAAATATATATTTAATGTATCAAAGCTCTTTAAAACTTCATAATTAAAATAATTAAACACCCCAACAGATATGTGAACAGAGTATACAGAAAAGCAATTAACAAAATATATACAAATGGCCTGAAAACACATGAAATGATAATCTCATCAACAATGGAAAGACAGCCAATCAGAGCAATTTTTTTTACTTGGCAAATTTGCCGAGATGAAAAAGAATAACATTAGGCAATAATAATAATAATGGGGGAAAGGCATTGATAGTCAATTGGTGGAAATATAAATTGGTATAACCTTTCTGAAGGATAATTTGGCAACATACAGTGTAAGATATTAAGTGTGCATCACAATGAGAAGAAAATGTATTGAAATCTTGCCACGACACCGTTCTGTTAAATAGTTTCTATGCAGTATCTCTTTGTTGTTGTTGTTAATCCTCACCTGAGGATATTTTTCCATTGATTTTTAGAGAGAGTGGAAGGGAGAGGTAGAGACAGAGAGAAACATCGATGTGAGAGAGACACACAAATTGGTTGCTTCCTGCATGCACCCTGACCAAGGCCGGGGAACCTGAAACACAGGTACACGCCCTTGACTGGAATCGAACCCGGGATCCTTCAGTCCCTGGGCTAACACTCTATCCATGGAGCCAACTGGCCAGGGCTATGCAGTATCTCTTTTAATCCTTAAAAGAACCTCAAGGATCCCATTATTATTTTAATTTTACAGATTAAAAAAGAATTTAATGAGGCACTATACTATTGCATATATCCTTAAATACTAATCTCATTATTTATTAAATGAAACAATTAGAAATATTAGCAAAGAGGTAAGCATAGGAATGCTAATTTTGTTCATAATATCTAAAAACAACAAAAGAGGAAAAATCCTTTCCTCTTTGAACAAATATTTATTGGGTGCGTCCTACATTAGAAGCTCTGTGTTAGATACTTAGCTAAAGCAGTGAACAAGACAGATACCTCCAAAGGGACTCAAAGTCTAGTTGACAGGGGAAGGGAGAAAAGTGGGGACATCAAGAATGAACAATTACAAAAGCGCAGTAACTGTTATAATAAAGAAAATTCAGGGAATTGGGGAACACATGGCAGGAGCACCTAACTGGAGAGGACTATGCAGAAAAGTAAACACTCGGGCTGAGACCTTCAGGAAAAAACAGGAGGTAGCTAGGAGAGAGAGAAAGAAAGAATCTAGACCAAAAAAAAAAACAGTCTGCCAAACCCAGAAGATATGAAAGAGTGCTGTACCTTTGAAGAAACAAAAGAATTTCAGTACAGCTGAATCCAAGAGTATGAAGAGGCACAAGTAATAAGAGATAAGGTAGAAGAGGAATGCAAAGCTAAGCTATTGAAATGCCTCAGAAGCTCACGAAATGCCTCATGGGTTTAAATTTTATCTTAACGGCAACCAGAAGTCGCTGAAGGATTTTAAAGTGGAGAGTCATCTAATCAGACGTTACTCCCCATATATATAAAGATCACTAGCTCAGTGACTCTCAACTTTGGCTACACATTACAATAATTTGAGAGGCTATTGAAAACCACCAATGACAGCTTGTAGTCTCTGGACTGTTCCCAGGTTATCTGTATTTTTAAAGCACCTGAGGTGACTTACAGTCTCCAGTAGTAATTTCAAGAATGAATTGGAGGGGAGCAAGATCTAAGACTGTTGAAATGTCCCAGACAAGAACTAAAACTAAACTTCCAACTGAAGTTGTTTGGAAAGCAGAATCAATAAAATCTGATCACTGATTGGTTGTGTTGGGAGTTACTACATTGAAGAATACTATCCATAAAATATTTAGAGAAAAAAATGGAATTTACAGAAGTTATATGTTATATATTTTTTAATGTTTTTAAATTTTTTTGTTTTAAATACATAAGTATATGTGCATAGAAAAATCTGAAAAAAATAGTAAAATGGTTAACAATTTTTATCCTTAAAGGTACATTTATAAAGAATGTACCTTCTACAACTTCTATTTCATACACTTCTGAATTATAAAAATTTCAAAAGACAAGCATGTATTACTCTTAAAATTAAAGATAGCTACATTCAGTGTAATAGATAAAACTCCCACCACTTTGAAGACTCTGTAACAGAAGCCTCCCCGAGAAGTCCATGGCTTCAAGTTTTTGCCAATGGCTGTCTCCCTATCTTCGTTTCTAGGGTTGAAAGATGCTCCGAGATAGGGCTGTTTGTTACCCAGACTCAGACTTCCAATCCATTCCTAAGCAGTCACAGCCACTATTTTTAAAAATCTTTTAAATTATTACATGTAAAAAATTCATCTTTTTAAAAATAATTTTTATTTTTCAATTATAATTGGCATACGTTATTAGTTTCTGACTTCACTTATATGTGGAATCTAAAATATTTTTCATTTATTTCAGTTGTATAATTTGATGAGTTTACACAATTGTGTAACCAAAACTACAAGCAAAACACAGAACAAGAACACTTCCCTCACCCTAAACATTTACTTCCGCCCCTTCATAGCTCATCCCATCCACATTCCTTGCCCCAAACAAGCACGGATCTGCTTTCTATGACCCTAGCTTTGCCTTTTCTCTAATTTCACCTGAGTGAAATCATACTGTAGGTAATCTTTGTGTTTGACTTCTTTCACTTAGCATAATGAGATTTCCATTATGTGTGTATTGATACTGCGTTACTTTTTATTTTAAAAATATCTATTTCCTTACATCAGATTTGTCTTTAAAAACGTAATTCTATGTTGTGTTCTACCACATTATAAGTAGATTTAACTGAGAAGTATAATTTCATGGTCTTTTCCCTGTAAATATAACAATAAGGACAACAGGGTAACTGTCCTATTTTTCTTCAAGGCGGCTCCTCCTGTTTTGGGAGTTAGAGGAGGGAGGACAAGCTTCTGTGCCTCCCTGGTGTTTCTTGAAGCTCTAGCAGAGACCTTCTCTGTAATTGGTTTTCCATATTTGCCAAGAGTCTGTTTCCTCTTAACACTCAACATGTTTAACAGAAGTCTTGTAATAGTTCCAAAAATAATAAAACCGGTCCCCAACATAAAAATGATACATACCACAACACATTGGTTTTTCCTAGTGGCTTTGGTTTTGTTAAATTCCATTAAATAATTTTTAGTGTCAAATTATGTGGTAGAAATAAAAAGTTTTTCTTTAGAGTAATCAAACCACTGAAGAAATGCAGTTCAATGACGTGTGCAGAGGGTGAGAATCGTCTGTACAGAGGCCAGCCCAGGACAGTGTGGCCACCTCAACGCCTAAGACTTCCCGTTAGTGATAAGTGGGCGGCTTAACTTCAGTGCTGTATCCCCAGAAGGACAAAAGTTTATTCCAGGTAGACGCTTCTGATATAATATCTGTAAGGCTGTTCTTGATCTGATGAAATCTGCTTCTCAAATTGTCAAACATTAACATGAAAAAGTAACCCTAGTTTGTATTTTATCTGACCCTCCCATCACTCCTAAGACAGTGGTTAAAGTATTCCAACAATCAATTTCTCTGCTTTATTAGATGTTTGACCAGTGAAAAATTTACACTTCCTTTCAAATTACTGGGTTACTCTTTCTTACTTGGTAATATTCCATAGTACAAATATAATACAATTTGTTTATTCACCAGTTCACGAACATTTGGACTGCTTCCAGTTTTTTGCTATTACAAATACTATTGCTTTTGAACATTTGCAAACAGGTTTGTGTGGACATTTATTTTTATTTCTCTGGTGAATGCCTAGGCAAAGAATTGCTGGGTCAAATGGTAAGCATTTGTTTAACTCTCTAAGGTCCTGCCACACTGTTTTCCTACAGGACTGTTCCGTTTTTCCATTCCCACCACCAAGGTATGAATGTTCCACTTACTTGATCGACATCACTGCTACTATTTTATACAGGCCAATGTAAAGCTTTCCCAGAACTACCGAATGGTTTTAGAAAGTAAATTAATTTATTAAAATCTTATGTGAATATTTCAAGTCCTATAAAGATAGATAGCTTTCCAAGATATTAGCCATTAGCTTTAAATGAGATAGTCAAACTGCTCAAATTTACCTTTTAATGATCTCCTCTTCCTTTTATTGTGTTCTTACCTGAGCTGCTCCATTTTCTCTGGAGTAATAGGACCCTTCCCAAAAACTTGGTCTATCTCTTCATATAGTTTTTTCTGTACTTCTTCAGAGGTGGTTAAAAAACAGATTGCCCAGGTGCACACTAAGTGAAGATTTACATTAATAACAATGAAAATAGCTACCTCACAGTTTGGGTGCAGAATAAGAAAAAAAAAAAAAACCTTTATTTTTTTGTATTTTCCTTCCCCCCCCCCCCCCATACAAAGATAAATAAATGCTACCAAAAACAAAAAAGTAAAGCAAGACTGTTCACAGGATTTATATTTCACTGAACAAAACATAAATATCTACAGAATACTCCCCAAAAGAAATAAGGCAACCTGGAAGATTTCTTTCTTAAACTGGCAAACAATTAAAGCCACTTCTTAAACTATTTTACTTTATTTTTTCAATCACCATTTATCCCCTCTGTACCTTCTTCCACCTCCACCCGCTCCCCCCCCCTCCGCCCCCCGCAATCTCCACACTGCTGTCAATTGTCTGGTTCACTCACCCTTGTAAAATAAAATACTGATTTATCAGTTCACTCAAGAGCCCTAATGAAATGACTCATACAAATCAAAGTAGCAGGAGCTTTACCTACAAGTCAATATTCTAAATTTTCACTTGTAAGAGTAGATACACTGGCTTAAGAACTGGGACTGGTTATTGCTTAGGACAGTGGTTCGCAAAAATCCCCTCACACCCACAGATTCTGATTTAGTAGGTTTAGGGTAGGATCGAAGCATCTAACAAATACCACAATTATTTTCATGAACACCAAAATTGGAAAATCACTAGCGTATGGTTTACTTTTGGTTAAAATGGTTTATGGATTATATTCACTGTGGCAATGAAAAGGTAAGAAAATTACATGATGAACATAAAACAGAGAAAATAAAGTAGTTAGATTTTCTTTAGTAATCCACTGGGATTACAACTATTCAAAGAATTAAACCATCCACATTATATAGTACTTCTTTCCCTAGATTATGTTTGACCCAGCTCTACTTTTTCTATGCCAAGTACTTTTCAAAATACATTTACTAATTTGTACCTCTACTTAATATTTCTTTCCTGAGCTAGTAAGGGCTGCTATAAATTTGTCTCAAATTTAAATGTTAACTCACATATTATCCAATTCCCATGCTTGGAAAAGACAGAATTCACTTTCTGTACTAAATATTACTAATAAAATCAATAGCTACCTGGTCCTCAATTATTTTGATAATTGCTCACATCTAGAGTTCAAAAAAGGCACATGATGAGTAACTGCCTGTCCTTAACTTTTTCCTACATATGCTTCCTTCTTATGGCTTTTGAGTGAACTGCAGACTTTCTGTTTCACAAAATAAATGAAGAAGCAGAAAAGAAACAGACTCACAGACACAGAGAACATTTTGACAGTTGCCAGATGGGAGGGGGGTGAGGGTATGGTGAAAAAGGTGAAGAAATTAAGAAGAACAAATTGGTTGTTACAGAATAGTCATGGGGATGTAAAGCACAGCATAGGGAATACAGTAAAAAATATTCTAATAACGATGTATGGTATCAGATGGGTGCAAGATTTATCAAATACTGTGTGAATGAATGGTACTCTGCTAAACTAAAATTAGTAACTTATGTAATGTCTAATCACTGGGGTGTGCACCTGAAACTAACATAATAATGTATGTCAACTGTAACTGAAAAATAAAAATGATTTTAAGATGAAAAAAAGACGAGTGACATGAAAACTAGTGCAGATAGTGTACAATATGTATATGTATGCAATTTTACAAACTTGCATAGTAAAAAACTGAAAGAGTTAACACAAAAATTTGAATATAGTAGGCACATGTACACCCAGCTTGACTAAATGGTCATTTAAAAATTAACATCACTGTACAAGCTTCATAATTTCAACATTGGTTCTTTTGCAGAGCTCTGTTAAAAATAAAGTATGAATGGAGACAGCTTAAAAGTGTGATTTTAAGCCACTGAACATTCTTTAATTACACTGCTGAACCAAGACATGATTTTATAGTTGGAGGGTACACCTTGGAGGTCGTCCACAGCCAAACCCTTATTTTAGAAAAGGAGACAATGCAGAGGTCAGTACCTTGGCTCAAGGCTAAGTCGGCAGCAGAGGAGGAACTTGATGGTTTCCGGCCTATCTTGCCTCTCAAAAACTTCAGAAGTGACTTAAAAATAACCAGCCCGCCCTGACCGGTTTGGCTCAGTGGATAGAGCGTCGGCCTGCGGACTGAGGGGTCCCAGGTTCAATTCCGGTCAAGGGCATGTACCTGGGTTACGGGCACATCCCCACGAGGGGTGTGCAGGAGGCAGCTGATCGATGTTTCTCTCTCATCGATGTTTCTGACTCTCTATCCCTCTCCCTTTCTCTCTGTAAAAAAATCAATAAAATATATGAAAAAATAAAATAAAATAACCAGCCCAATGCAAATAAATAATCCTCTGAAAATTTCTCCTAAAAACAGCAAATCAGATTAAAATGTTAACTCAACCTTGGAAATTATCACTTTTTATGATATCTAAAGGACAACTGATTCAGATTTATTTTAAGGACTTTAGCAAAAATATATTTTAATGCAATAAAATGTTAAAACAAGTTTAAGCATTTTTTAAAAAGATCCCATACAGCCCTGGCTGGTTGGCTCAGTTGGTTAGAGCATTGTCTCCTACACCAAAAGGTTTTGGGTTCAATTCCTGGTCAGGGCACATTCCTAGGTTTCAGGATCCCCAGTTGGGGCTCATACAGGAGGCAACTGATGTCTCTGTCTGTCTGTCTCTCTCTCTCGCTCTTTCTCTCTCTGTCACTCTAAAAATGAAAAATCAATAAAAATATATCCTCAGGTGAGGATTAAAAATAAAAAGGTTCAATACAGCATATTTACACAAGCTTACCTTAATTCCATTTAATTTATAACATCTGGACCTCTCTTAATATTGAAAATTTTACAGCAAGAAAAATTGATGGGGAGTTGTATTTGTAGTCTTTGTTTTTAAGAAAAGGTCCTTCAACAGAAAGAGTTGTAAATGAATCCTTCAAGTGAACATGAATTTTTTGGGTTTTAAACTAATATTTTAATACTTCCTTTAACATTTTATGTTATTATATTTTTATAGATATACACAAATTTTTATAAATACCGTATGAATGAATGGTACTCTGCTAAACTAAAATTCAGTAAGGAAACTTAGAAACCTATCACACCCATTTTAGATTTTGAAAGAAAAGCACCTTCAATCTGACAAAAGAGTGCTTCTGAATCATGAATCCTGTGACCCATCTCTTCTGCTGGGAGACCTTAGTAATCGCAGCCCAAATGGAGTCAAAGTGAAATGCCCCAGCAGGAAACTGAAACGCTCACTGCTCGGCTGGAAAGGTGCCAACAGCGGTTCATTTTTAAAGCACTAACTAGAATTCACAATCCACAAACCGTGTCAAAATCTTTATGACACTGTTCAGAGGTGGCATACAACACCCGGGGTTTTTAAAAAGTGCCTGTGTGAATCAAGTCTTGCAAACAAGAATAAAAAAGAAGAGGGGGGAGAAACTAAGATGGCGGCATAGGTAAACACCGGGAAATTGTCGCCTCACACAACAATTGAAAATTACCGCAAAGGACTGAGCAAACATCATCCAGAACAACAGAAAGGCTGGCTGAGTGTAAATTCTACAACTAGAAGGAAAGAAAAGCACGCTGAGAGCCAGAGGTGCTGCGGAGGTGAAGTGCAGAGGTACGGCGGCTCGCGCGCGCGAGGAAAGGGGGTGGCACCTGAGGACACGGCTGTCTTTTTGAATCACAAGCTCCCGACTGCTCTGAACTCCGGTTCCGGGAAGTCTCTGGGGACCCAGGACTCATACGGGGAGAAGCTGGTCTGTCCGGCAGCGGGCGAACTTGAAGGCGGCTTTCCCTCAGAGGTGCTTGCAGCAATTAGCGGGTCACTGAGACCCGCGACTCCCGGGCGGAGAATCAGCCATAGCTCCTTGATCCGCCCTTGGATTCCCTGAGACCCCGCCCCACCCAGGCTGCGGCAGAGGCTTTTGCATGTGAATGTACCTAACTGCAGCCGAGCCAGGCAGACCCGGAACTTCCTAGAGAAGGCCCAAGGCCCCGCAGCGGCTTGCATTGCTTCACAGCTGAGCCTCTTTGTGGCTCCTGCTGTGTGGCCTCAGGCAGAGGCTGAATTAGCACCTCCTTAGATCCAGGAGCCACTGTACCCAGTGGTCAGAGGGGGACCATCCAGACTGCAACTCCTCAGATCCATAAGGGACACACTCAGGGAGCAGACTCAGTGAGCACCAAAGCCCCACTGAAGCAAGTCTTGCCCCAGAAGGGTGTCTTCAGCACAGAAGTTCTCCCACTTTAGACACAGCTGATTCTCACAGCCAATTGGCCTGGAGGTCAATTCCTCCCAGTGATTCTACAACAACCAAGGCACCAAGAGTGCACCAAGAGTGTCCACCCCAGGTAACTGGGGAGGCTGAGCTACTGGGCCCTACAGGACACCTGGCGCGCAGGGCCACTCTATCAACACAGGGAAGCTGCCAAAATGTGGAGACAAAGAAACAGGTCACAAATGGCAGAAATGGAGGAAAGAAAACGATTGGATATAGAGTTCAAGGCCACGTTTATAAGGTTTTTCAAGAATTTTATGGAAACCGCCGATAAATTTAATGAATCCCTCAATAAGTATAGTGAGACCATGGAGGACATGAAAAAGGACCAACTAGAAATTAAGCATACACTGACTGAAAAAAAGAATAATTTACAGAGATCCAGCAGCAGACAAGAGGATCCCAAGAATCAAGTCAAAGATTTGAAATACAAAGAAACAAAAAATACCCAACCGAAAAAGAAAAAAGAAAAGAGATTCCAAAAATATGAAGATAGTGTAAGGAACCTCTGGGACAACTTCAAGCGTACCAACATCAGAATTATAGGGGTACCAGAAGGAGAGAGAGGGCAAGATATTGAAAACCTTTTTGAAGAAATAATGACAGAAAACTTCCCCTACCTGGTGAAAGAAATGGACTTACAAGTCCAGGAAGCGCAGAGAACCCCAAACAAAAGGAATCCAAAGAGGACCACACCAAGACACATCATAATTAAAATGCCAAGAGCAAAAGATAAAGAGAGAATCTTAAAAGCAGCAAGAGAAAGACAGTCAGTTACCTACAAGGGAATACCCATACGACTGTCAGCTGATTTCTCAACAGAAACCATGCAGGCCAGAAGAGAGTGGCAAGAAATATTCAAAGTGATGAATAGCAAGAACCTGCAACCAAGATTACTTTATCCAGCAAAGCTATCATTCAGAATAGAAGGTCAGATAAAGAGCTTCACGGATAAGAAAAAGCTAAAGGAGTTCATCACCACCAAACCTGCATTATATGAAATGCTGAAAGGTATTCTTTAAGAAGAGGAAGAAGAAAAAGGAACTCTTACCATTTGCCACAGCATGGATGGAACTGGAGAGCGGATAGATACCACATGATCTCACTCGTTTGTGGAATATAATGAACAACATAAGCTGATGAACAGGGACTGATCCAGAGACGGAGAGGCATTGATTGGACTGTCGGGTCTTGGAGGGAAGGTAGGGGAGGGTGGGGGTAGGGGGGAAAGATCGACCGGAGGACTTATATGCAAGCATATAGGCCTACTCAATGGACATGGACAACGGGAGGGTGGGGGCATGAGCGGGGGGGGTGGGGGGGTAGAGGGTAACGTGGGGACAAGGACACATATGTAATATCTTAATCAATAAAAAATATATTTAAAAAAAAAAAAAAAGAAGAGGGGGAAATTATAAAGAGTGTTTCCTTTATTTTAGAATAGCTTTAGCCTTGTATACTTTATACTCTATCTCCAGAAGGATTCAAGGAATACTTACATTTTGCAGTTATTATGCAACTTGCCAGAGAAAATATCATACTGTCTTCTAGGATCTAGAAAACAAAGTGAAGTTTAGAAAATATGAAATGCAAGGTGGCCTGTATCAGGCCCTACTAAAATAACCTATTCTGTAATAGGGGTCAAGGTAAGGGGAAAAGTCTATATTATGTTTCATAACTAAGTCTTTATTATGTTTCAGTTAAAAAAACTATATAAGAACCAATCTAAATATCGTGTTGCCTTTTTCCATGCAGTAAACATTTATCTATATTACTGTCTCAGGGTAATTTTTGCAAATAAACTGGCTCAGTCCTCCCTTTCTGGCTTGGCCTGGTGCAGCAATGAAGCCTCAGGAACCACGGAAAGCCTGCCACTCACTGTCCTGGGAGCCTGATTCAATGCCTGCACTCACACACACACCAAAACGCCACTTCTGTCTAGGAAGACTTGCATGTGCGGAATAAAAGGGTGTGGCAAAAATGGCTCCCCTCCTGTCTTTTGCCTGACAACACCATAGGTGTGCTGGGGGGAACAGACACACACTGGAACAAGCCAAGCTGCACATCTGGTCATGCAGGCAGAGCAGCTTAGTCGATAAAGGCTTATAGAGGCCATCCTATTTTATGATCAGAGATTTTTGGCTCAATATTTGCTTCCAGATCTTATATAATAATAGGCTAATATGCAAGTCAACCAAAAGGCACAATGACTGGTCGCTATGATGTGCTCTGACCACAAGGGATCAGATGCTCAATGCAGGAGCTGCCCCCTGGTGGTCAGTGCGCTCCCAGAGGGGGAACACTGCTCAGCCAGAGTCGGGCTCACAGCTGGCGAGTGCTGTGGCAGTGGCGGGAGCCTCTCCCACCTCCGCAGCAGTGCTAAGGAACCCACTGGGGGATGTCCAACTAATAACTTAGGCCCACTCCCCATGGGTGGGCACAGGCCGGGCTGAGAGAACCGCCCCCCTCGAGTGTATGAATTTCGTGCACTGGGCCTCTAGTTATTAAATGATAAACAACTGCTTCAAAGAGCTAAATAAGAGGAGACTAAATATGAATACTGTTTATGGATGATGTACAGTAAAAGAAAGCCATTGGATTTTGGAGGTCATCTAGATTAAATGAATAAAAACCACACTCTATACATGTGTGATTATGTTTTATTTGAAAAATGTTTAACAATTACATTACCTGTTGGTCATTAAGGTTTCCCTGTACTAAGGAGTCAATGAAAATGCGTTGACTAATGTTCTTTCCTTTTCGTTCTTTTATGATTTTCTTCAAAATAGATTCCAGTTGCATAAGGGCTTAGTGAAGAAAAAAAAAAATTTAGAATATATGCACTTGTAAAGATTAAACTTTAAAACATTTCTGTACAATGCTATTACTACAGAATAAAATTTTCAAAGGTAAAGTAGTAACCAACAATTTTTAAAAAGCTAATTTATGTTTAAATTCATCTACTTTCTTTTCCTTCTCTTCACTAAATTTTATACGTGTACAAAAAAGTACATAAGATATATATGCACCATCTAAGGAATAATTACAAAGCAAACACCCATAATATTGCCACCCAGGTCAAGAAGTAGGACAATGCCAGCACCTTAGAGGCCTCCACACACATATACCTCTCCACTGATATTATCCACCTCACTTCTAATTTCTGTCCTCTTAACTTTATTCTTCTCTCAAATCAGGCATCACCCAGTTTAGGGACAGAAACAGATGTGAAATAACAAGAAAGGACACAGCCAGCATGCCTCGATGGCTGAATGTTGACCTATGAACCAGGAGGTCATGGTTGGATTCCCAGTCAGGGCACAGGCCCAGGATGCAGGCTCGATCCCCAGTGAGGGGCGTGCAGGAGGCAGCCTATCAATGACTCTCATCATCGATGTTTCTATCTTTCTGTCCCTCTCCCTTCTTCTCTGAAATAAAAAATAAAAAAAAAAAATATATATATATATATATATATATATATATATATATATATATATATATAAAGAAAACTCCTAAAACCTAAAAGATATAGAGTAGCTGATATCCAACAATCAAAAGAATTATCCAAAGATCATTTCTCAGTTCCCATCTTACTTGGCCTATCACAGCACTTGATGATGTCGACCACTTACTTGCAAGAAACACTTGGTCATCTGGCTTCCAGGATTCACACTCTCCCAGATTCCACGCTTTCCTCCCACTCTCCTACCTGCCCATTCTCAGTCTCCTTTGTTAATTCCTTCTCATCTCTAGAATTTTTTCATGGTAGAATGTCCAAGGTAACATATCAGTTTTTGGAACTCTTCTGTGTTGCTATTTACATTCAGTTAGATTGGTGATCACCAGCCCCAAGGCTTTAAATACAATCTATGTACTTAACACTCGCAAATTTATATTTCCAGTCAGGACCTTGCCCCTGAACTCCAGACTCATGTATCTTATAACCATCTCAGCATCTCCTCTTGGCTGTCTGAAACATATTAAACATACCATATCCAAAACTGACCCTTGATCTTTCCCCTCAAAGCTGATCTTCCTAGTCTGTCCATCTTATTTCCCAATAGCTTTAATTTCCAATGACTTAGGCCTAGAACAGTGATGGCGAACCTTTTGAGTTCGGCGTGTCAGCATTTTGAAAAACCCTAACTTAACTCTGGTGCCGTGTCACATATAGAAATTTGTTGATATTTGCAACCATAGTAAAACAAAGACTTATATTTTTGATATTTATTTTATATATTTAAATGCCATTTAACAAAGAAAAATCAACCAAAAAAAGGAGCTTGCGTGTCATAGGTTCGCCATCACTGGCCTAGAATCTGGGTATCCTCCTTCTCGCTTATACCCCACATCTAATCTGTCAGCCCATGTTGGTGGGTCTGTCTTCCAAATACAGAATTATTCTCCCTTATTTTTTTTCTTGCTATATTTTCTGTTGCCTGACACTGAGTCCACACCACATTATTTCTCTGGCCTGGTTTATTGCAATAGCTCCCTAAGTAGTCTTCCCACTTCTGTTCTGGGTACCTCCAACCTATCATAGCAACCAGAGTGATCCTTTAAAAACAGAATGCAGCCCTGGCTGGTTTGGCTCAGTGGATAGAGCGTCGGCCTGTGGACTGAAGGGTCCTGGGTTCGATTTCGGTCAAGGGCACATGCCTGGGTTGTGGGCTTGATCCCCAGTGGGGGGCATGTGGGAGGCAGCTGATAAATGGTTCTCTCTCATCATTGATGTTTCTATCTCTCTCTCCCTCTCCCTTCCTCTCTGGAATCAATAAAAAATATTTTTTAAAAAACATAATTCAGATCATAACTCTGCTCAAAACCTTCCAGTGGCTTCCTATCTCATAGTAAGAACCTATTCACACAATGACCTACAAACCAGACAAAATCTGTCCCTATCCCCAGTCATTCTAGACTCATCTCCTATTCCTCTCTGACTCACTTCACCACAGACACACCCTGTTATATCTCAAATATACCACGGAGAATCCCACCTCAAGGACTTGGCAATTACTTTTCCTCTAAAAGGAATATTCTTCCCTTGGACATAGGATGTCCACATGACAGTTACCTTACCTCTTACAACTGTTTGCTCAAAAGTCACCTAACTTGGTGAGGCCTTTCCTAATGGCCTTATTTAAAATTGTAACCTCCTCACCTCTAGCACTCCCTATCCCGCTTCCTGACTTAATTTTCTCCGTAGCACTTTGCATTTTTAACACACTATTGCGTTTATTTATTTAGATTATTGTCTGCCTCTTTCCACTAGAATGTGCTGCCACAAAGACAGGAATTTGTGTTTGCTTTGTTATACAATCTACTTTATTTAGAATCTAAAAAATTATAAGTTATTCATTTCCATTTATATTAATTGAATCAATGTTTGTGAAATAAATTTTTTATTAAGGGGAGTACTCTAAATGCATCCATCGAGATAATCAGAATGGTTACAAAAACTAGATAGCAGAAAACATATCAATTAAATTGGCTTTTCTGGACTTAGTCTGGACATCAAAGGAATCACTGAAATGGTCAGCCCCGTGAGGACAGGGATTATTGTCTTCTATACAAAGAAGAGGGCCCAGCACATATGGGCCTCAGTAAACATTCGTTGGAAGAATAAAGGAAGAGAATCCTGAGGAGCAGTACTGTTATATGGAAAACAACCCATTGTTCCAATGCAGTCTATGGATTTAACTTACCCCAGCCTACCTCCAAAAGGGACTGAAGCAGCTCAGAATACAGGTATGAAAGCATTACAATCATTAAATTATTGACAGAATATGTAAAATAAAATAAAAAGGGGGAGAATAACTTGGGAGAGCCATCTTAAACTAAAACTGCTATTTTTCTGAGTTTACAAAGTTGTAACCAATGCCAAACATTTTTGAAAATATTGTTTTCAAAATTATATATGTTATAATGGCAATAATTTTTATGTTGCTAACATTTTTTACAAATATTACAAAATATTCAATTATATTGATATGATTTTCTTAACAATTCCTATGTTGTTGGACATTTATATTGTTTCTGGTTTTCTACTTGCAGAAACAGCAGGGACAGAAATATTCAAGAAATATTTTTCTCTTGCTAGGTAATTTGAGCCATCATTTATCAATCTTACCATGTGTCATCAAAATGCTTTCCTAGGGTTGTACCCTTACACTCTCCATTAATCCTGTAGGCTATTCCAACTCTACAGCATTCTCATTCTGTGGTGAATGCTAGAATTCCATTTATAAATTCACTGCTTTTTCCTCTCGTTTGTTTAAGAACTTCCATTATGGGAAATGTAGGGGCGGGGGGGGGGGGGGGAAGAGAGAGAAAAAACCCATGATTTATAATTTCATTGTTCCGAAATAGCCCTATTAAAATAAAGCACATATCCTTTTATCCTCACTAGAAATTAAGAGTGGCAAAACTTACCATCTTCATATTGTTTTTTCCGAGTTGTACTTTCATCAAGTGATCCATCTAGAAAGCCTTTCCCGATCTCAGACCAAACCTAAAAATAGAAAAACATACCTACTATCTAATATGTAGATTTTCTAAATAATAAAGCAATCTAAGCTAATAATTGAACTCCAGCCTCACGAACAGAACTTATAATGAAGCTCTCACTTTTAAATAAGCTACATAATCATTTACTCCATAGTCTATGAGAATAGGACAAATATATTTTAATAATTTTCATCAAGAAACTTTCAAATTAATTATAACTGAAAAGTCCAAAGTTCCTTTTCTGCCCTCGCCGGTGTGGCTCAGTTGGTTGAGCATTATGCCATGCACCCAAAGCTTGCCAGTTTGGTTCTATTCTGGATCAGGGCACATACCCAGGTTTCGGGTTCAATCCTGGTTGGGGTGTGTGTGGGAGGCAACTAATCGATGTTTCTCTCTCTCTCTCTCTCTCTCTCTCTCTCTCTCTCTCTCTCTCTCTCTCTCTCGCGCGCGCGCGCTTCTTTCCTCCCTCCCTCTCTTTGTCTCTCCCACCCATCCACTCTCTCTAAAAATCAATGGCAACAATATCCTTCAGTAAGGATTAATAATAAAAAACAAAAAAGAAAGAAAGAAATATGGGCAAAAGACATGAAAAAGCACCCCACAAAAAAACAACACAAGTATTCAACAAAAATATTAAAAAATGTGTAACCTCACAAACAATAGAATAATTATATATTTTAATCATGAAATCATTTCTGAACAATTAAGTAGGCAAATATTTAAAGGACCAATAATTCTAAATGTCAAAAGCACACGGAAAGAGCACACTAATGTTGGTGAGAAAATAACTGGGACAATGTTTCTGGAGAAACACAGTCAGCGACTGAATGTGAGGTGTACATTTTTCACACTCAACATCTGTGCAGTCGGTATGCACCTTACAACTGAGGCCGGCTCCCAGCTGCTGTCAGCCACGAAGTGGTCATGATGAAGTTGTTATCACCTCTGCATTCACAACGTGGTTATTATTCCCGGTGACATGCACCCCTTGGTGTTTCAAACATTGGAAGATCATTTGAGGTAGGATTTCAAGTCATGTTTATGTGGTAGGCAGTTAGACAGACATGGCCAGAGTAGGGAGGATGGGCTAGGTATAGAAGGTCACCAGGGTGAAAAGTCTCGAATGCCCAGCAAAGGACAAATGTAGGGTGGGACCTCACCCTCAGGGTGACTCTTCCTCCACTAGCTTATCCCTGGTCATGCATGGGGTTTGGATACCCTGGCCTTTCCTCCCTAGAGATAACATCTAGTCCTCAGCTATATTTCAGCTCCAGGCCCAGAAAAGCAGCAAAACCAGACAAGTGACACCAAGGCTGACCTCAGGACAAGCTGCATTGGATAATGACCCCCTGCCCTGGCACTGACCAATCAATCTGTGGAGACCTGGACCCTGAAAGGACACACCTGGAAAGCTGCTGAATATTCTATTGAAACCTTCCCCTGGGATCTCCCCTGAATCTCTACCCTTAAAACCCTTAAGATAGAGGATCCAGTGCACTCTCCTCCCAGAGCACCCCTTCACCTGTCCTCCCCCACCTCTCATCTCCTCTCTTCCTCCCCACATGTGCATCACCTTGACCTTCCTCACTTCTAAGCGCTAAGGGCCCCTCCTTTGCCTCTATAACTTGTTTCCTAATCCCATTTCTTCTATGAATTACTTCTACCTCTGTGATTTTTCCAAATAAAGGTTCTCTTATAGTTTGAGTCTTGGCTCTGAATTCTTTCCTAGCTACACTCAAGTACTGAGATTGCTAAACCCAGGTCTGATCTGACACCACTGGTCTAACACACCTGGTGCCCTTCCTACTACCTCCAACATTTATAGTCTGAAAACTTTTCTTTGACAACTTCTACTAATGTTAAGAAATATACATTTCTGCCTGGTCAGTGTTGTTCAGTGGTTGAGTGTCAACCTATGAACCAGAAGATCACGGTTTGATTCCTGATCAGGGCACATGCCTAGTGGAGGGCAAGCAGGAGGCAGCCAATCAATGATTCTCTCTCATCATTGATGTTTCTATCTCTCTCTCTTCCTCTCTCTTCCTCTCTAAAACCAATAAAAATATATTTTTTTAAAAAAAATAGAGAAAAATCAATTCCATATGTGAATCTAGAAAGGGCACTAGTAAATCAATTTTAAACTGAATTAGCCCTTCTTTAAATCATATTAATCCCATTAGCATTATTTTGCTCATTAGCTTTAATTCCTTTCTACATAGGACATAGTCTAGTACTATTAAATATAGTTTTTTCTTTATTCTAGAATTCAGTATTATTTCATAATATATGTGGTATTAAAAGAAAATTTATTTAGTTATCTAATTTTTAAATTTCAAAAGTAATATTTAAATTTTTTAAAGAGACAATTATCTTCACTTACATTGTTGTTTTTAATCCCAAACAGTGAAATTCTATACTATAGAACCTTAAACATTATTCTTTTTTAAAAATATATTTTTATTGATTTCAGAGAGGAAGGGAGAGGGAGAGAGAGAGCTAGAAACATCAATGATGAGAGAGAATCATTGATCGGCTGCTTCCTGCAAGCCCCCCACTAGGGATTGAGCCCATAACCTGGGCATGTGCCCTTGACTGGAATCGAACCTGGGACCTTTCAGTTCACAGGCTGACGCTCTATCCACTCAGCGAAACCATCTAGGGCTAAACCTTATTCTTGAGAGGCAAAATCTACATTATTTAACTATCTAATTTGATGAGAGAATAATTTTAAATTTGGTCCTGGACTTACTGTGCCATGATTCTTCTGGAAGCGAATGACTTCCTGGTCATCTTCAAATGTACTACCCATTACCATCTGTGTAACAGACTTCATAGCAAAACCAAGCATATGCTGGCAAAGGGGTATGTGCTGGGACTCTGGGTAGGAGAGCCATTTATTTAATAATTCTTCTGAAAGCTGAAAGAGAACAGAAGCCCACATGATTTATTGTTCTCTCCTGAATAAGCATTCAAGTGATTGGTTAATTTGTCAGGCTAAGTGGCTCCACCTAAAATTACATCCTCAGTGGTTTAGATTCAGATTCTGTCAAAGGGTTGGTTTGCGAAACAAAACAGGACCAGGACCACCACCACCACAACAAAATATATATTTTAAAAGTTCAAAGGCTGGTAAAATCTTAAGGCTAATGGAAATTAAGAGGCTAAATTCTTAGTATCTAATTTAATATAGCTATGACCATAAAAATCTTGTTACCAATACTGTCACTTGCATCACATAACTGACTTTTGACTTGCTCATGGCTTAATCCACTTGTTTTGCACCTTATTCTCTAAATCAATGCAAATACCATAAATAACTCATACAGGATTTTTCTCTAGGCAAACAGGTCTAGATCTTCTGTTAGAGGATTATGTGAATATTGACTAGTTTATATTAGGTGGGAATTCTATCTGTTGATGAGCTTCATTTGATAGTCAGATCGGTGTTATATATTAACTTATTATTGGTAGAAATGTCCAAATCTATGATAAATGCTTTCATTCATAATACACTTTTTTTTAAAATATCCTTTCTAATTTTGCCATGTGTGATATATGTATATTTATATGAAAAACTACCATGTGGTTGAATAACAAGAATGTGTTTATGCTGGAATATTCTTTTACTAGCTATATTTATATGATAAATAAATTACATATATATGATACATAACTATAAAGACCATAAAAATATATGCTATTAATCTTATCATTTATCCTGAATAAGGACACATGATACACAATAACTTACTTCTTCAGAATGTTCATGTTAAAATACCATATTAATTTCAAGTAACATAAAATTATATTAGAGAAAACAAGTCAGTCTACCTAGAAGCTGACTTACAATTCAAAAGATAAGATTTTAGAGTATATATCAGTTTTCTGAAAGAATACAAACTTTCTTTTTGAAAAAAGTTTTTAGGTAATTAATCAGTAATTATAGCAAAAATATTAGAATTTCAGAGAAAGCAAAGTCTTTTTAATTCCACCTTACATTAAGATATTACTGTGACTGCAATACTCAAAAAGGTTTTTAAAAAGAAGAAAAAAAAATCGCTAGCCAAACAAAACTACATTCCAGGGTAGCAGAATCAAGCTATAGAGCAGCAATGTGCCAGACTGACTGGGATCAAATCCTAGTCCTACTATTTACTAGCTATATGTCCTTGGACAAGTAACTTAACCACTCTGTGCTTCAGTTTCTTCATCTAAAAAAAGAGAAATAACAATACATACCTATAAAGTTCTTATGAGGATTAAATGAGCTCATGAAGCTATTGAACCAATGAACTCAATAATTTTGGCTATTAATATTATCACTAAGCTGTCAATTAAAAGGACAGTCATAAATTCTAAAATCCAGAAGTACTTGTTAAATCAAAATTTAGACTCAAAGTCACAGCATAATATTAGATTAAAGCACACAGAAGAGAGAAGTTACACTCACAGAATTAAAGTGGAGGTTTACACTCAGCCTTGGAACAGAGACAGTCAAGACAGGAAGGAGTCAGAACACACGGGATGAGCTTTGTGAAGATGAGAGAAGAGTCAGAACAGAACTCAGATCTGGACCGCCCCCCTCCAAAAAAATAAAGGCAAAAGGTTTAGTAAGTCAATATGAAATATACAACTTAATTCGGGGTGGTAACTCTAGGTAAGCAGCTATTCTCTTAAAGAAAACCACTGGTATAGACAGCAGTACTCTTCAGTCACATGAAAGGGGCTCTATTGTCTCAGCAAAGCAGGAGGCAAGGACAGCCATAGCAAACAAAAAGGGTGGGTAGGACTAGCAATACTACTTTAAGGGTGAAGGTTTGTAACAATCCTATGAAGATACAGAGAACTAACAGAAAGCACACAGGGTCCCTTTCAGACAAAAAGGAAATGGTATTAATAAGTATTATTTTCACACTCTGTAAATCATTTGTGGAGCTCCTTAAAAATGTCAGATCCACCCCTCCCCCAAAAGGTCAGATCCCTTCCCAGTGATTCAATTCATCCCAGTAGATTCCAAGTAATCTACATATTTAACAAGAGAGAGTTTCAGGTAAACGTAGACCATGTTTTAGGAAACAGTGGTTAAAAGTCTGGCCTGAAAACAAAGGACAAATCTACTGATATAGAAAAAAATTTCAGGTTCTCTCCACTCCCATAATTTCCATTTATATAGGGAGTCTGGGTGTTAAGTTTTTTGTTTTGTTTTTGTTTGTTTTGTTTTAGAATTTCAGGACGATAAAGATCAGCTTAGACAGACAAGTAAAAAAGTAGCAAGAAAACAACACACAACAGTTAAAAAATATGTTATCTGAATTGCAGAACTCTAGGCCAAACTACTTATCACCTTACCTTTAGCAGGAGAGCAAAATTACTCTGCAGAGAATCAGTCACACCATTTTCATACAATTTTTTTCTTGTGTAGTTTTCACTCACATTCCCACCACCAGATTGATACCTTAACAATGACTTTAGCATCGTTTCAAAAGGGTCCACTGAAACAGACAAATTAAACATTTCAAAGTCAAAGTAATCACTCAAACAACAACAGAACTTCCAGCAAAAGGACATAGAGATCAGGGAATTATGGGATTGTAACGGAAAGCATGGCAACTTTTTCCCCCCACAACTCCCTTAAGAGGCAATGAAAATTGTCAAGAATAAGTACAATATCCTGACTGGGAATTCCACCATAAACCATTAATACATGCATACACTTTCTACCTACATGACAACAATATCTTTGACTTCTAAAAAAAAGCCTCATGCCCTAGCTGGTGTTCTCAGGGGTAGAGCGTCAACCTGCGGACCAAAGGGTCTCAGGTTCAATTCCCAGTCAAGCAAGGGTACCTGGGTTGCAGGTTCTTTTCCCGGCCCAGGTCGGGGCATGTGTGGGAGGCAACCAATCAATGTCTGTCTGTCTGTCTGTCTGTCTGTCTCTCTCTCTCTTTCACTCTCTCTTTCTCTCTCTCTCCCACCTCCCTCTCTCCCTTCCACTCCCTCTTTAAAAATCAATGGGAAAAATATCCTTGGGTGAGGATTACCAACAACAACAACAAAGCTCATGCCACTGATTTTAAAGCAAATTTGATGATTCTGTGTAATGGTCAAGTGTTTGAGTTAAAATTATTTAGCTGAGTTCAAAAAAAATTATTTTCTCCTTTATCCATTATTTGAAGTGTTTCTTTAATAACTTTGTTTTCACATACGTACAAAAATACACTGTCATGGTAAACAATTAAAAAAGAAAGTAAAATACATCTAAATCTCACCACAGAGATACCCAGATAAACATTTTAGGGATCTTTTTTAGAGCTGTTACCATTTCTTAAGAGAGAGAACATTCTGTCAGACTTCACAAAGAACTACAGCCCCTTCTTTCAGAGCACGTGTCTCAGTTCATTAGTGTGATCATTTATTTCCTCGGTGTTTACATGCTCCCCCGTCCCCAACACTAACCTATAATCTCCACAGGACAGAGACCACATCTGGTTTTACTCAGCAATGTATTTCCTGGCAGAGCCATCTTTCTATGATGTGGAAAGCTCAGTAATTAAGGCCATGAACTCAGGCCAGACAGCCTTGCTTCAAGTCCCAGCTCCATCACTAATTAGTGGTGTGACCCTGGGCAAATAATTTAACTTCTCTTAACCTCAATTTTGTCTTCTGTTAAATAGAAATAAACATAATACCTATTTCATAAGGTTGTTCTGAGAATTAAATGATTTAACACTTATAAAAGGTTTAGAATAAATTGCTGGCATATAGTAATTGCTATACAAGTATTTGGTAAACAAAATAAAACATATCTGTATCATCATATTAAGCCTGAAAGTAATATTAAAAGTATTCTTTTATGTAGCCATTAGTAAGTATATGTTTGCTTCAAATTTTCATTATAAATAATGCTAATGTCTTTTCTCATTTATGTGATTAGCAATTCATGATAAATTCTTGAGGATTATAATTGCTAAGTCAAATGTTACTGCCAACCTTCTCTCCAGAAGGTTTGTAAACCATTTATACTCCATGTTGCTCCATTCCTTCATCAATAATGAGTTGGTCAATATTTTTCATCTCTTTAGTCAGAGAGGGAAAAATCTCATTTTTATTTGCATACTACTGATTATCAGTGAGGTTGAAATTTGCTTATTGGCCATTTATATTTCTTTCTTAATTACCTTGTTTTTACCCATTTTCCTACAATTGCATTTTATTTTTTTCTTATTAGGTTTTTTAAAAATTTTTATTTACTTTAACAATTTATTTTTAATCCTTGCCTGAGGATATGTTTATTGGTTTGAGAGAGGAATGGAGAAACACTGATGGTTGAGAGAGAAGTATCAATCGGTTGCCTCCAGTATGTGTCCCTATAACCTAGGTATGTGCCCTGACCAGAACTGAACCCACAACCTTTTTAGAGTACAGATCAATGCTCCAACCAGCTGAACCACCAACCCGGGTTTTCTTATTTGTTTTTATTTACTTTATAAATATATGGGTGGGAAATAGTTTTCCCATTTCTTTTAAACTTTTTCATTCTTTTTTATTTTATAAAAATACTAGAGGCCCAGTGCACAAATTCATGCATGGGTGAGGTCTGGCAGGCCCGCCCCGATGGGGGCAGAGAGGGCAGGGGACATGGGAGGTTGGCTGGCTGGCCCCGCCCCTGATCGGGGTGTGGGGGCTGATCGGGGGCAGGGCTGGTCAGGGAGAGGGACCCCAGGCGGTTGGCAGGCCAGCCCTACCCCTGTTCAAACTCTGGTTAAGGGGACAATTTGCATATTACCCTTTTATTATATAGGATAGTCATTAACTAATACACACTATGTATAGTAATGAGTGGCCAGCATTTTTCCATTTCTCTCTTTTTCATACTTTTTTAAGGTTTCTATTATAATACAATTTTTCATTTTTATGTAGACAGATTTATCCAATTTGTGTTTGATGGGTCCTAGATCTCATGTCATGGTAAGAAAAGGATGTTTATCAATACCACCCGCAAAATTTAATATTTAGCTATTTTTTTCTATTACTTTCATGACTCCATATTTTAATCATTTGGAATTTTCTTTGATAAAGAATAAAGCATATTTTCCTCCCAAATAGCTAACCAGTTTTCCCAATATCATTTATTAGCTTTCCCTTTATCATAAAATGCTATTTTTATCATGTATACTTGGTTTGTCTACTGGACTAATTACTCTATTCCATTGGTCTGTCTAGTCCTATCACAGTACAAGATTCTTTAAATTAATCTAGCTATATGATACACTGTTCTGTCTGATGGTAGAGGTATTGCCCTCATTAATGTTTTTTTCTAGATATTTCTTGGCTGCTCATGTACATCCATTCTTCCAGATGTACCCTGGAACTATTTTTTCAGGTTCCCCAAAAAATTTACATTGGGATTTAATTATATATGTACTAGAGGCCCAGTGCATGAAATTCATGCACTTGGAGGAGGGCGCTCAGCCTGGCCTGGGCCCTCTCGCAGTCTGGGAGCCCTCAGGGGATGTCTGACTGACAGCAGCAGTGGGACATCCTTAGCACTGCAGCGGAGGCAGGAGAGGCTCCGGCCAACGTTGCAGCGCTCACCAACCATGAGCCCAGCTTCTGGCTAAGCAGCGCTCCCCCTTGTGGGAGCGCACTGTCCACCAGGGGGCAGCTCCTGTGCTGAGCAGGATCCGGCTGAAACCAGCTCTCTGACATCCTGAGGAGTCCCGGATTGCGAGAGGGTGCAGGCCAGGCCGAGGGACCTCACCAGTGCACAATCAGGGCCAGAGAGGGACGTGGGAGGTTGGCCAGCTGGGGGGGACCGCGGGAGGGCACCAGGGCGTGTCCGGCCCATCATCCTCAGTCCCGATCAGCCAGACCCCAGCAGCAAGCTACCCTACCAGTCAGAGCATCTGCCCCCTGGTGGTCAGTGCACATCATAGCAACTGGTCGACCGGTCAAATTACTGCCCCCTGGTGGTCAGTGCACATCATAGCGAGCGGTTGAGCGGCCTTAGCATATTATGCTTTGATTGGTTGAACGGATGACCGGACACTTACCATATTAGGCTTTTATTATATAGGATTTATATAGAGAAACATATAATTAATATATATATGTGAAAAAATAATCATTTTATAATATTGTGTCTTAAATCAGGTAATAAATATAAAAACTTCAGCACAATGCTTGGCCCATAGGATAAAGCATTCAACAAATGTTAGCTATTCCTATTCAAAAACAATGTATAGCTCTTTATTTAAAGACAGTTATTCTTAAAAGATATGGATCGGCTAATTAGAAAGAAAATTAAACTTACATGTCTTATTGGGGTTGATATGCTGCTTCAGCACATTGACAGTGCCCAAGCTAACCACTGGGCGCCTGCCAAACCAGAAGGAGACCACAGGCCCATATCTCTCATGCAAATTTACCAGGAACTCATGCAAACTTCCATTGTTCACAATATCTGGAAGATTACCATCTCTGAGAAAAGAGCAACATTGAACAAAATAATCAAATTAACTTGGAAGAATCAGAAAAATAACTGTGTCAAGAGATGAAACCAAAGGTATAAGAAATTCAATTACTGCAAAACCCAAAACTCAATTATATTTGACTTCTTGCTTTCTAAAGATATATTTAGACATAGATTTGTCTGATATTTTTAGAGTTCATAATACTTCAAACCAAGTAAGAAACATCTGATTTTGAAACTGGAAAAAAAATTTTTTTGCAGCACCTCATTCTGAGGCAGCAATGAACATCATCAGAGACTGATGAAAAACATCAGACTAGCTATGGCAATTTTTCATCATTCTATCTTAGTCCTGTCTTTCTATTGTCAACTTTCTCTAATTAAGGGAAAATGACAGAAATTGAAGGTTTTTATTTATACAGCCTTCCTTTCTGTTCTTAATGAAATTTAGGTTGTATGCTAAGAGGTAAGTTAAAGGTAAATAAAGGAGCCCTGGCTGGTTTTCCCAGTGGTTAGAACATCAGCCTGCAGACCAAAGGGTCTCAGGTTCGATTCCAGGTCAAGGGCAATTATCTTGGTTGCAGGTTCGATCCCCAGCCTGTTGGGGCTCGTGCATGAGACAACCAATAAACATGCAGTGAATGATATACATCAATATTCCTCTTTCTCTCTCCCCCTTCTCCCTCCCTTCCACTCTCTCTACAAAAAATCAATGCCAAAAAAAATATCCTTAGGTGAGGATTTAAAAAAAAAGAGTAAATAAGGAATTAAATGAGCTAGTATTCTAAAAATTTGACTTAGTCTCCATACCAAATTAAGAATTGACTCTACTTGATTCCAAAAAAGTAATTACTCACTTTTCATCCGTTGGAGTAATCCCTGGAATTCCTGCAGCTTGTCTGGAAGCCTTAAAGAAAAATTTTGCAATAGTTCATTTAGTATAATGAATTATCATACATCCCATAAGTCAGATGTGTTTTGCTAAGACATCTGCAGGACCTTAAATAATGGCTTTCGGGCCTAACCGGTTTGGCTGAGTGGATAGAGCGCCGGCCTGTGGACTGAGAGGTCCCAGGTTCGATTCCAGTCAGGACCATGTGCCTTGGTTGCGGACACATCCCCAGTGGGAGGTGTGCAGAAGGCAACTGATCGATGTCTCAATAAAACATCTCTTCCTCTCTGTAAAAAATCAATAAAATATAAATATTAAAAAAAAATAATGGCTTTCCAATTTGGTTGAATCTCAGGAATTATTCCTATGTTAAATACAAAAACTGGGTTCTTTGTCATTTAAAAGGACATTTGTCTTCCTCTGTGCCAATTAATCTAAGGGGTTTGAAGATTTAACATCCATTCTACATAAATTAATACATAAACAAGTACATTTTTCTTTGTTCAGTTTTTATATATGGTCCCAACTGGCTTGGCTTGAAAAATAAATCAATGTCACTGGGGAATTTTAATTTTCTTTAATTTTGAATCAGGTTTATGGTTGCTGTGCTTGGGGTCAGTGTTTTTTCTGATTTTACAACCAGCATATCACTTTTATAATAAGACTTTTATAAAATATTTTTTTAAACATATTTTATTGATTTATTTTTTACAGAGAGAAAGGGAGAGGAATAGAAACATCGATGAGAGAGAAACATCAATCAGCTGCCTCCTGCACAGCTCCTACTGGGTATGTGCCCGCAACCAAGGTACATACCCAGAATCGAACCCGGGACCTCTCAGTCCGCAGGCCGGAATCGAACCCGGGACCTCTCAGTCCGCAGGCCGACGCTCTATCCACTGAGCAAAACCGGTCAGGGCTAAAATAATTTTTAAATAAACTAAATGTTTATAGAAAAAAATAAACCTAAAATATCAACTCCAGAATCAATTCTGAATGTTGTCAATGATTTTCAGTAGTACTAATCAGAGTTTACCTACTTGGCATATTCTACTTAACATTATGTAAATAAAAGAATCTTGTTTATTTATTTGAACATGTAAAGGAAAACTATGTTCCATCATGGAGCCAGAATTGCTTAATCATTTTCCTTCTCTACTGTCATAAAATATCTGGGCTCTTTTCTTTCTTCAGTTTTCTCATTATTACACACAGTGCTATGAAAATCTTTGTACAACTTTATTTTTCCTCCTTTGGGGTATGTATGCCAAAAGACAAATACTAGGTAGAAGGGGACTAACTAAAGAGTTTTATAGTTTCTACTAATTACTACAAGAATGCTATCTAGACCAGTGATGGCGAACCTATGACACGTGTGTCAGAGGTGACACGCGAACTCATTTTTTTTGGTTGATTTTTCTTTGTTAAATGGCATTTAAATATATAAAATAAATATCAAAAATCTAAGTCTTTGTTTTACTATGGTTGCAAATATCAAAAAATTTCTATATGTGACACGGCACCAGAGTTAAGTTAGGGTTTTTCAAAATGCTGACATGCCGAGCTCAAAAGGTTCGCCATCACTGATCTAGACAATAGTGTGTGTACCTTGCATTTAAAGGATAACAATGAAACCTACAATGTATAATTTTGTAATCGTCTCATCAATAATAAATATTTTTCAAAGTTATTATAAATGGTGGGGAAAAGGATGGAAGAAACCCTGTAACTTGAAAAAGATAGTCAGTGACATAAAAAGTCTTATTATTGCCCTGGCCGGTGTGGCACAGAGGGGTAGAGTGTCCTGGGTCCTGTGCTGGGAAGGGTCACAGGTCTGATTCCCAGTCAGGTCATATACCCACCCAAGTTGTAGATCCGATCCCCGGTCTAGGCGATTACCGGAGGTAATGATAGATGTTTTTTCGGTCTCTCTCTCTCCCTCATCCTTCCCTTCCCTCTAGCATCAATGAAAAACATATCCTCTGGTGAGAATATTTTTAAAATCCTATTTTTATTTTCTAGGCTGAAATTACTACTTTTAAAATATTTTTTTATTGATTTCAGAGAGGAAGAGAAGGATAGAAACATCAATGATGAGAGAGAATCATTGATTGGCTGCCTCCCTCACCCCCTACTGGGGACCGAGCCCGCAACCCGGCCATGTGCCCTTGACCAGAATCGAACCCAGGACCCTTCAGTCTGCAGGCCAAGGCTTTATCCACTGAGCCAAACCGGCTGGAGCGAGGCTGAAATTATTAATCACTGAAGCAAGTTTCCTGACTTCCCTTTAAACATTATAGATTGGTAGCGTTCATCTATTCTTGCTTCTGAAATCCCATTAAAATGAAAGTGAAGAAATAAAAAGAGGAGAAAACAGGGTACAGAGGAGCCCGCAGCGTGGCTCAGTGTCCACTCTGAACCAGGAGGTCACGCTCCATTCCGGGTCAGGGCACCCACCGGGTTCTGCTGGACCCCCAGTGGGGGCGAGCCAATCAGTGATTCTCTCTCGTCACGGCTGTTTCTCTCTCTCCCCCCTCTCCCTTCCTCTCTGAAATCAATTTTTTAAAAATCTATTTTTAAAAAGATATACCGGAAATTCCAGCTTGTGCAGTTGCACTATTCCGGCCTATTTGCCAGATGGGCACTGTCTGCGGTGCCCCCATCCCCAGTGGTGTATCTGGTGCTGAGCAGCTACTCCACACCGCTATCTTGTCTGCAGAGCACGTTTCAGAGACGATTCCTCCTTGGCTTTCGGGGCCACCCTCCGAGGGTGACAGGGGCAAGTAGAGCAGTAAGACGGGCAGGAGGCCCCAGACAGAGGGCAGTGCCCAAGTCACGCTCAAACGCTTCAAAGGGCACCGAACGAACACACACACACACACACACACACACACACACACACACACACACACACGGCGGAAGAATCCTCGGGAAAGGAAAGGAGGGAGGGGCGAGCCCCGGAGTTTCCTCCCAGACCCAACCAGAAAATGAAATTTGGGGTTGACAGAGTCCCTGCGAGGAGTTACCCAAAGAACCTGAGACCCGCCCCGTCACAAGGACCCGAGGACCAGCCCGCAACACCCGCCGCCCCCGGCCCCGCGGCTTTCCCTCGGCTCCCCGGCGCCCCGGCCCGCGCTTCCCGGGGCCTGAGAACTGGCCGGGCCCGCGCCGCACTCCCCGGTCCCGCTGCGCGCGCCGCGCCCGCCCCCGGAGGCCACCGCGGGCAGAATAAAGTGGACGCGGGCACACTGCGCCGGGGGCGGCGGCCGGAGCCCTGGAGGCCTAGAAGCGGTTACCGGGTAGAGGTAGAGCACCGCTGCCACCAGCGCCAGCAAGAAGGTAACGGCGAAGATCGCGAAGTCCAACATGGTCTTCCGCCCGGAGCCACGTCTCGGGTCCCCAGCTCCCGCAGCCGCGCCTCGGCCAGGGCGGACCTGAGGAAGGAGCGAATGGGTAGCGGGGGCGGGGCCAGGGCCTGGCGGGGGCGTGGTTAACGCCTGGCGGGGGCGGGGCGGGAGGGGCAAGGCCCGGTCCTGGTGGGGCGTGGTTAAGGCCTGGAGAGGGCGAAAGGGGCGGGACCAGGGCCTGGTGGGGGCGTGGTCAAGGCCTGGCCAGGGCTGGCGGAAAGGCCGGTGGATTGTGAAGGGGTGACGGCAACCCCAGCCCGGGGTACCGCCAGGACTTCAGGACACGCCCACAATGCAGGGTCGGAGTCCCTGTGGAAAGCAGAGCCCAGGCTTCTGAAAACCATTAGCAGTTATCATCGCTCTGCCCTGACCAACACTTTTTCCAGTGGATTTAAGATTAGAGCCTCTAGAACAGTGGTTCTCAACCTTCCTAATGCCGCGACCCTTTCATACAGTTCCTCATGTTGTGGTGACCCACAACCATAAAATTATTTTCATTGCTACTTCATAACTAATTTTGCTACTGTTATGAATCATAATGTAAATATCTGATATGCAGGATGTATTTTCATTGTTACAAATTGAACATAATTAAAGCATAGTGATTAATCACAAAAACAATATGTAATTACGCGACCCCTGTGAAAGGGTCATTGGACCCCCCCCCAAAGGGGTCGCGACCCACAGGTTGAGAACCACTGCTCTAGAACAACAAATGATTCTCACAGTGTGGTTCCCTGGACTAGCAGCAGCAGCATCGCTGGGGAACCTTCTGGAAGTGCTGATTCTCCATCCCACTCAACATCTACAGGATCAGACGTAGGGGGTAAGGAGGAGAGAGAAGGGCCTGGGGCACACAGCAATCCGTGTTTTAATAAAGCTGTAAAACGCAGTGAGAGCCACTGATGTAGGGTAACTGAACTTAGAGGTGTCCAGAGTGAAGCACCTTTAGATGTTCCTTGTTTCGAAAAGAATTGATGTTTGAAGTGGTAGATGTGAACCCCTGACGCTCATGGTGAGCAAGATTTCCTGGCTCGGCTAGACTTTTGGTAAAATTTATTGAAATCCCTAAACTTCCATCTCTGTGCAAAACCGTGGAAATAATACCACACAGAATTGTCTATAGGGTTAAATCGGATATTCTATTTTGCACAAATAACCAGTATTCTATTTGGCACTGCTCCTCCTCTTTCACGGGAGTTTTGACAAGGATAATGTAAGGCAAAGCCCACTATTTGCGGGTACTCCATTTAGTGCAAGCGTCCTACGAGTATTTGTAGATTTTATAGCTTTAATAATACAAAGTGACCAAAGGGGAGGGGCAGCAATTCAGCAAGAGAAATTGCATTTTAGAGCTTTTATAATAAACTAATTTTATGACTATGCATGGAACATAGCATTAAAAATGGCAAATCTTTTGGCATCTATAGCAAAGGTAAAACGCTGCTATTTGAGATTTAATTAAGCAGAAATTATATTTTTAACTCTAGTTATCTGCCCAAAAGTTTATTTTTCAATCTATTCTTTGGAATTTTTTTTTCTTTTTTTTTTTTATTGCTTAAAGTATTACAAAGGGTATTACATATGTGTCCATTTTATCCCCCCGCCCTAGACAGTCCCCTAGCCTCCCCTATCCCCCAATGTCTTATGTCCACTGGTTATGCTTCTATGCATGCATACAAGTCCTTTAGTTGATCTCTTACCCCCCTACCCCCTGCCCCCCAACCCTCCCCGGCCTTCCTGCTGCAGTTTGACAATCTGTTTGAGGCAGCTCTGCCTCTGTATCTATTATTGTTCAAAAGTTTATAATGGTCTCTATTATCCATGAATGAGTGAGATCATGTGGTATTTTTCCTTCATTGACTGGCTTATTTCACTTAGCATAATGCTCTCCAGTTCCATCCATGACGTTGCAAATGGTAAGAGTTCCTTCCTTTTTAGAGCAGCATAGTATTCCATCGTGTAGATGTACCACAGTTTTCTAATCCATTCATCTACTGATGGGCACTTAGGCTGTTTCCAGATCTTAGCTATGGTGAATTGTGCTGCTATGAACATAGGGGTGCATATATCCTTTCTGATTGGTGTTTCTGGTTTCTTGGGATATATTCCTAGAAGTGGGATCACAGGGTCAAATGGGAGTTCCATTTTCAGTTTTTTAAGGAAACTCCATACTGTCTTCCATAGTGGCTGCACCAGTCTGCATTCCCACCAGCAGTGCACAAGTGTTCCTTTTTCTCCACATCCTCTCCAGCACTTGTCGTTTGTTGATTTGTTGATGATAGCCAGTCTGACAGGTGTGAGATGAAACCTCATTGTTGTTTTGATTTGCATCTCTCGGATGATTAGTGACTTTGAGCATGTTTTCATATGTCTCTTGGCTTTCTGAATGTCCTCTTTTGAAAGGTGTCTATTTAGGTCCTTTGCCCATTTTTTGATTGGATTGTTTATCTTCCTTTTGTTAAGTTGTATGAGTTCCCTATAAATTTTGGAGATTAGGCCCTTATCAGATATGACATTGGCAAATATGTTTTCCCACACAGTGGGTTTTCTCGTTGTTTTGTTGAAGGTTTCTTTTGCTGTGCAGAAGCTTTTTATTTTGATGTAGTCCCATTTGTTCATTTTCTCTTTCGTTTCAAGTGCCCTAGGAGCTGTATCAGTGAAGAAATTGCTTCGGCATATGTCTGAGATTTTGTTGCCTTTGGATTCTTCTAGAATTTTTATGGTTTCCTGTCGTACATTTAAGTCCTTTATCCATTTTGAGTTTATTTTTGTGTATGGTGTAAGTTGGTGGTCTAGTTTCATTTTCTTGCATATATCTGTCCAATTTTCCCAACACCATTTATTGAAGAGACTATCTTGGCTCCATTGTATGTTCTTGCCTCCTTTGTCAAATATTAATTGAGCATATTGGTTCCGGCTGATTTCTGGGCTCTCTATTCTATTCCATTGATCTATATGCCTATTCTTGTGCCAGTACCAGGCAGTTTTGAGAACAGTGGCTTTGTAATACAACTTGATATCTGGTATTGAGATCCCACCTACTTTGGTCTTTTTCAGGATTGCTGCAGCTATTCGGGGTCTTTTTTTATTCCAGATGAATTTTTGGAGAGTTCGTTCTAGATCTCTGAAGTATGCCGTTGGTATTTTAATGGGAAGTGCGTTGAATTTATAGATTGCTTTGGGTAGTATGGACATTTTAATGATGTTGATTCTACCAATCCATGAACACGGTATGTTCTTCCATCTGTTTATGTCTTCCTCTATATCTTTTTTCAACGTCCTGTAGTTTTCTGAGTAGAGGTCTTTTACCTCTTTAGTTAAGTTTATTCCTAGGTAGCTTAATTTTTTTGGTGCGATGGTAAACGGGATTGTTTTTATAATCTCTCTTTCTGAAAGTTCACTATTGGTGTATAGAAATGCCTCGGATTTCTTGGGGTTAATTTTAAAAAAAAAATCATGAATGGATGCTACATTATTTTATAGGAAGGGAGAGAGAGAGAAACATCGATGGTTGCCTCTTGCATGTGCCCCAAGCAAGGACTGAACCAGCAACCTGGTTCAATGCCCTGAGCAGGACTGAACTCTCCACCTTTTGGTGTACAAGATGACACTCCAACAAACTGAGCCACAGTGACCAGGACTCAATCTCTTCTTTGGATTTTGAAGACATTTCCCATCTAAAACATGTTCCAAATAGGTTTCCAAAACAGTAAATACCAGGTTTTTAAATGCACAACATTGCTACATAACAGTAACCCTAGCCTGAGGCACCAATCCTCACAGATATCTGGATTCACTCCCCTGTTAGTCCTAAACTGACCCTTTTAGTACTAAATTAGCCTGAGACTCTCTGAAATTTTGAGGGTTGGTGAAAAAGGGACAGAAATTACAGAAGTTGAGCAAGGCACAGTAGTTTAGAGATTGAATCTCTAAAACTATACAGCATCTTTTTCTGTTCTTAAAATTTTTGCCTAAATGCTTCCTAAAAGCATTTTTTTTACAACCATAGATATGTATATACTTTCACACATTTTTGTATTGACATCTAAAATTTTTATCTTTAAAGGATTAAATTTCTTGGCTGGCATGGTTCAGTAGTTTCGTGTCGACCTATGAACCAGGAGGTCACAGTTCAATTCCCGCTCAGAGCACATGCCTGGATTGTGGGCTCGATCCCCAGTGTGGGGTGTGAAGGAGGCAGCGATCAATGAATTCTCTCTCTCGTCATTGATGTTTCTATCTCTCTCTCCCTCTCCCTTCCTCTCTGAAATCAAATTAAAAAAATTTTTTTTAAAGAATTGTTATAAATATTCACATTTTGAAATTATCTCTATTAAATTGGAAAAAGGAGTTTAAATACTATAGTGATGTGATGAATGTCATCAAGCATTTTTAAATATATAAACTCTTCGTGCAAAGCTGGAATTCTTGTTTTGTCTTCTGTGCCCCTTTGGGGATTAGGACCTGTAGTCATGAAGAACCAGAGTTTGTGGGAATGGGAAGCACAGAGTCTCCCGGTGGATAATTAGGAGTAAAAGTCAGAGGTACTATTCCTGTGTCCACTCCCAGACCTATGCATTATTCTAATTGAAGCCGTAGGACCATGTAAAAGGCTTTGATTTAATGAGAATAGTAAATCCTTAAGGATAGCACCATATTCTTTTTTTTCTTCTTTAAAAATCTTCACCTGAGGATGTTTTTTCCATTGATTTTTAGAGTGGAAGAGAGAGGGAAAGACACAGAGAAATATCAATGTGAAAGAAACATCTGTTGGCTGTTAATTTATAACTAAAAGATGTTCATATTTCTTTCCCACTCCCATATGCATCTATATACCTCTGTTCCAGACCTTTTTGTCCCTAACCTTAAAGTATTTTTTCAGTTCATGCCTCTGACCAATTGGCCAGACCTTTCATCACTGCCCATAATTCCATATATAGTATCTCCTCCTCTTTTTTCTTCCTAGGTGAATGACATGTTGCACCACTAAAGATCTGCCCACTGAAATAGTCTTCCCTTGCCACCATGTTTCAAG